CTCATACTCTGTCTTTCTCTCTCAAAAATAAATAACATTTAAAAAATTACCAAAAAAATAAAAAAAAACCAAAAAATAGGGTAAATTTGTTCTTTTTAAAAAATTTTTTATTTTCAAAATAAAAGACAGAGAGAGACAGAGTGAACAAGGGAGTGTCAGAGAGAGAGGGAGATACAGAATCCAAAGACAGGCTCCAGGCTCTGAGCTAGCTGTCAGCACAGAGCCCGATGCAGGACTTGAACCCACAAACCGTGAGATCATGACCTGAGCTGAAGTCGGACGCTTAGCCGACTGAGCCACCCAGGTGTCCCTAAATTTGTTTTTTGACCAGCACATGCAGTCTTCACTCTATCACAATTAGTAGATGAAACAGGCAACTTCGAATGATGGCAGATCAAAACTTGAACTCAGCTCTTCTGAAGTCAAGAACCAATGTTCTCCACAGATAACACAGTTATCTAATAAATCTCAACTTTGCTGTGCCACTCCTTTCCAAAGAGATAAAGATCTTAAAGTCCACAAGGAGAAGTTATAACTTGCCCCAGATTACCAAGCCCTATAATGGCAGAGAGAAGCCTAAAACCCAAATCAACTGTAGCACTCTGTATGGAGTCTCTCTTACCCCTGCACTAACTTAAAATTTTTTTAAAAAGATTTTAAGTAATCTCTATATCCAACATGGGGCTAGAATTTATAACCCTGAGACCGAGAGTTGCATGCTCTACTGGCTGAGCCAGTCAGGCTCCCCTAGAAAAAATGTTTTTAAGACCCAAAGGCATTCTCTTTGATTTTAAATTTATTTTCTAAATAGATATATAAAGGGGAAAGTATGAGACTGGCAACAGAATGGCAGAGGAATTAAAGATGAATTAAATGAATTCCTTTAAGCTAACAGAGGAGTAAGTAACAACTGCAGGTTTAAGGGGATCATTATAATCTTTAATTCAAGCCACTGCACACATAAGATCACAAGGAGGGCAACCATATTAATCACATTCTCTGCTACCTTTAAGGACAAATGACTTGGATGTCATGCTTTAGATGCTCGGAGGTGAAGATATTCCTGGTCTAAGAAACAGAAGCTGCATTTGACCCTATGGTTGTTGTGGTGGTGTTTTTTTTTTTTTTTTTTTTTTTTTAAGCAGCTCCTTATTACTGGAATCAGCCTTAAGGGACTGCTGTAAAAGGGAACTATGAACACAGGATCCAAATTTCCTTTATTTCAAGTAAATAAGGACAACTCCACTGCTTTGTAAAACAGGTCTTCCTGGAAATCCACTGAATCGGGTGAAATAGGATAGAGTTTCAACCATATCTTACAGAAGGTACCTTTGCAAATCACCAAACTATTACAAAATGCAAGTACGCTGACTATATCTTGCAGGACAGTATAGACGAGTGTACTAAGGACTGCATGAAAGAGGGAAGAGCCTTAACACAAACCAACAATCAAATATCTTATCAGAAACAATGGGAGAGGGTGACTGGCTGGCTCAGTGAGTAGAGCATGTGACTCTTGATCTCAGGGTTGTAAGTTTGAACCACACAATGGGTGTAGAGATTACTTAAATAAAATCTTAAAAATAAAAAGAAACAAAGAGAGGGGATTAAATATATATTTATGGACTTTTATTTTCAAGGAAAACCATGAACTTAAAATTAAATATTTATATGTGTCTATTATACATATATATACAAGTTATCTCCACATCACATATTGGTGAACCTACCTGTGTATGTGATCTTGGCCAGAAGGGACTACACCTACATTGGCTACATTTACAACATTTTGAAGGATCACAGAGGGAGTGAAATTCTGGGGTGCAGCAATGATTACAGTAGAAGTTTCATTCATTCCTGTTAGCATTCCTGTAAGAGCAAAAGAAGGCTCCCTTTTACTTATGAAAATTACATTAAAACAATTTCAAGCCCATTGCCAAAATGTAAAGACTTAAAATACCCACTTCAGAATATAGTTTTAAAGATAATCACAGAATTAAAATAAATGCAAATGTTATAAAAAATTTTTAATCCTTACTGTGTAGGAAAGCATGTACAAA